TGTAAAAAGGGCCCAAAGGGGATAAAAAAAAGAGTGAAAAAAATTTATGGGGGGGATAAGTCTTTTTGAGTCCCCCGGGAAAAGTTTTATTGAGTTAAAATGAAAGAATTAAAGAAAGACGAAAAATAGGATAGAAAGATAACAAGGAGGCTTTAGGAAAGGTAGGGGGTGTTTTGGACCAGGTGTTTACATGAAACATTTAAGTAAAACGGGTTTAGATAAGGTTTAAATTCTTTGGGGCATTTTTTTTTTGGGAAAAGGGGGTAGACGGGGTGGTTTGGGGGGGGCATGGGGGCAGATGTTGCATGTGTATGGTGTAGGGGTGGGGTTACTGAAAGAAAGTGAAGATTTTTTACGAGGATGGGTGAGGCTCAAGTTAGAGTATGTAGGAAAGGGGGAAAATTTTTTTTCCCAGAAAAAGTAGGCCTTAGACAAGGAGTGTTTTTGTCACCGGGGGTTTTTTAATATATTTTATAGAGGGGTTTGGTAAGAGAAGTAAATGCGAGGGTCTTGGCAAGGGGGGTTTTGGAAATTTAAAAGTTTAAAAAATTCACACACAAAGTGGGAGTTTTCACAGCTTTCTCTTTTCTGATGACACTGTGCCTTTTGGGGGGATTCTGAAGGAAAATTGCAGAGATTGGTGGATGAATTTGGGAGGGTGTGCAAAAAAAAAAAAAATTTTAAAAGGGGAAAAACAGGGAAAAAGTAAGGGTTTTGGGGGATAACAAAAAAAATTAGGTTTATGAAAGATTGAATTTTTAGATTGGAGGGAGAGAGTATGGAGGGGGAACGTATTTAGTATTTGGGAGTGGACGGTCAGCGGATGGGTCTATGAAAAATGAGGTGAATTCAAAAGAATTGATGAGGGGGGAAAAGGGGTGAGTGGTGCACTTAGGAGTCTGTGGGGGAAAAAAGAAATTTGTCCTTGGGGGGCAAAAAAGGGGAAGTTTGCCTTTTTATGGGTGTGGGAAACGGGGTGATGAATGTTGCGCGAGGAGAAAAAATGTCATGTTGGGGCAATTTTGGTGTGAATTTAATGCAAGAATTCGTAAATTTGGGGGGTTAGGGGGAGGTGCGGGTTACCCCCCAAAGTTGTTTCCCCCAGGGTGAGGAAGGGGTTTTTGGGGGTTTGGGTTTGGACTTTTAGAGAGAAAGGAGCGAAAAGAATGATTCAAAAAGTGTATCAGTCCCGTAGTGGAAGGAAGGGGGGGTAGGGGGCGGCCTAGGAAAAATTGGGGGGGAGGGGGTAAAGGGGGTTTTTTTGTGCGAGGGGCTGGACTTTTCCCGCAGGATGCGTTTAGCGTGTTTGATTTGGGGTGAATGGGGGACAAAAGGTTTTTTTGTAAATTGAAAGTGCTGTTGGGGGTGAGCAAAAATAACATTTAGAAGGGGTTCAGGGGGGGAAAACCCGGGAGGCCCGGGCTTGAGTCCTGGAGATGGGAAGTACGGCCTGCCTCTGAAAGGGGGGGTGTTAATGGTTTTCAGTTTAAAACTGTAGTGTAAAGCACCCTTTTGGCAAGGGCAGTGAAAGGAAATTTAAAGATGGTGAAAAATTTTTTCCCTTTTTTTGGGCACCCCCCCTTGGTGGGGAAAAACGGCCAAATGTGATAATAAAAAAAAAAAAAATATTATATAAAAATATATATATATATAAAATATTATATATATATATTTTATATATAAAATATTTATATATTAAAAATATTTATATATATATATAATATAGTATATATATACACATACCAAAAACAAAACACAGTGCCTTTCTTTGGGGGTTTTTTTTTTATTTTTTTTACTAGTTTTTGTTTATTTCCCCATTCCCCTTTAAAAGGGAACAGAATTCCCCCCCCGTAAGCCCTGCTTTTCTAAAAGACAACTAAGATGCTGGGAGCAAGGGGGTGGAAAAACTTTTCCCATATATATTACTAAAAGAAAAAAAGAAACCCTTTTAAATTTTTTTTTTTGGGCCCCCCCGCCTCGGTGGGATACGGCCGGTGCATTGAAAGAATGCCTTCTTATGTCTCCAATTTGCTGCATCATTTGCAAGCTTTTTTCTTTTTCCTTTCTGCTAATATCTTTTCCTCAACAACCTGTTTTCCTATACCATCTCTTTCACCTCTGCTGTGTAGCATTCTGTATTCCTTATTGGTTGGGTGCCCTTTGTGACTAGACTGATTATTGTAATAATGTCTTACAGAGAAATAGTTGTACAACCATGCCAAACAAATACTCAGTATGAGGCCATCCCAAACCAGAATAACCCACAACAGGTATTTAAATACTAAGCTAAAACCAGAATTGCACAGCACTAAACACAACTAGCATTTCATCCTGACCTCTAACCTCAATAGAGAACATGTAAGATTACCAACACTAAGGAGCAATTCTGTGTATGGTGGACACATTGTTTCTTGAAGAGTTGGACCCTCTCAGTGTTCAAGTTTTTACATGCTCCATATTAATTTTGAATGACCCATACTGATTTAGCACTTTTTTGTGTGTGAATTTAATATCCATGTTCCACTGAAAATTTTCATACATGTCACTCCCTTAGTGTATACAGTATGTACCTTTTTAATCCTTATTTTAAGGATTACATTTACAGTATTCTTGATGTTCATCAACAGGGTAATTTCACTCTTAATGGCCCCACATATAGTCAATAGGATTTAAACCTATCATCCTGTCTTCCCAGTATCCCTCCCTTTGAGGGATACTTGATGCCCTGAGGACTCACCCATGTGTTGGATTTGGAGAAGTGGCATGGGTAGCTCAAAGTTAATTGAGGAATCGCCAAACTTTCTCAGTCAAGTTTTTTTCATCGGCCATTAGTTTTGTGGCTTTTAGCTCGAGTTAACATGTGTAAGGAACTCCTCTGCAAGATCTCAGGATCTGGAAGTACATCTGTCCTCTGGAGAGGAACTCTCTTATGCCTTCATAACTGCCTCATTGATAAACATAGTCTTCTCATTCCCTCTACTATGTACAGTACTTACATGTCAGTATGTAGTGGTAACCTGCTCAATAAAACAAGACCTATAAATTTACCCCAGTAATTATTCATTTTGGGCAGATATCAGGTTTAGCCCAGTTGGTTTATTATTATGTATACTTTGGTGGGATATGGCCGGTTTGTTGAAGAAAAAATGTATGCATGCACGCATATGTGTACTAACAGAGTTGTTTTTACAGGGGTTAAGACTCAGCCCCTAGCCCTGCTCCTAGGTTACCTTAAGAGGCATTACTGATTTCTGGCCTCTTGGATCTTATCATATCTACTCTTGAAGCTGTATTTAATTTGCTTCTGCCACATCCTCATCCAAATCATTACACCTTAACCACCCTGAGACTAGACACACATTGTTCTACATGTCTGTGACTCATCTGAGTCTTCAGTTTCCATCCGTGTTCCCTTGACCTTTGTTTTCATAATTCAGATTCTCTCCCTATCTTTCCTATCAATTCCTCTTAAATTATTTCAAGTCATTGCGTGTACTCACATGTTTTTGGTGCATTTTCCTGATGCGAGATATAAAATGTCCCATCACATGCTGACCTCCTCGCTGAAAGTCCCACTTTTGAGGCAGACTCTGACTTTTTAGTGGAAACTAACTTATTGAACTATTTTGTATTTTATTTTATGTTTGCACTCTCCACTAGCTCTTGCACTCTCCTTCCCTTCACTCATTTCTGACCTTTCCTATAGTACATCCCTCCTTGCAGTGCTTATGACCCTTCTGGGTTTAGTGCTTAGTTTTATAATATAATAATAATAATAATAATAATAATAATAATAATAATAATAATAATAATAATAATAATAATAATAATAATAAATAATCATAATGAGCTATACAAAAGATTAATTCTCAAGGTAAACAACTGTTACTTCAATGAACACGTTTCAGTGGGTAATTACAAAATACAGGTCCACATCCCTTTATCTGAAACCCTTGGGGCCAGTAGTGTTTCGAATTTCACCTGCCACTCTGGCTGTCAGTGCTGATGCTCCACACTCCACGAAAAAACTTTGGTTTTCGGAACTTTTCAAATTTCAGAATTTCAGATAAAGAGATGTAGACCTGTATAATGATTATAATCTGTATATGTTGGCCCTCGAATGCAGGCGAGAGAGATACATGATAATATACACTTGGAAGATCCTGGAGGGATTGGTACCAAACCTACACACGAAAATCACTCCCTATGAAAGCAAAAGACTCAGCAAGAGATGCAACATAACCCCGATGAAAAGCAGGGGTACCATGAGTACATGGAGAGACAACACAATAAGTGTCCGGGCCCCAAGACTGTTCACCTGCCTCCCAGCATACATAAGGGGGATTACCGATAGACCCCTGCCTGTCCAGTGCCTTCTTAAAGGCACTGGACAGGCACCTAAAGTCAGTACTTGACCAACCGGGCTGTGGTTCATACGTCAGTTTGCATGCGGCCAGCGGTAACAACCTAATTGATCAGATCCTGATCCTCCATGAGGCCTGGTCTCAGACTGGGCCGTAGGGATGTTGACCCCCGAAACCCTCTCCAGGTAAACTCCAGGTAATATGCACAGTGGAGCATTTGCACATATCTATATGTACATTGTGCACATACATGGGCATGATCACCTACAATTTAGCATATACACGCTTCACAATAATATCTCATAGATTTGATTTCATAAAATCAGAAATTAAAACACTTTTTTTTCAGTTAACCCTTAAACGGTCCAAACAGATCGACGTTCAAATCCGTAGTGCTCCAAACGTAGATCTACGTTTTTTTTTTACATATTTTCGAACATAACAAAAAAGCAAATGTAGATAAAAGTTTTTTTTACACATTTTCAAATGAAAAAGAAAAAAGATGATCTACATTTTTTTACATACTTTCAAATGTTGAAAAAACGTATATATACGTTTGGACCATTTATTAAGGAAGTTAGTCTGAGATTTACAAAAATATTTTTTTTTTCACTTTTATAAGGGAAGTACCGACGGTAAAATACCAAGTATAAAAGGTGATAAAATATTTTATTCCTCATAGGAAATATGTGAAATACTGAGTATGAAGATTTAATGATGTTACAGCTCACCTTTCTTGGATTTAACTTCAGTGTGTCCTGTGTGTTCAGCACTTCCCCCATGATTATAATAATAATACAGGAGAACATAGCTGAGTGAACCATATGGATTCAGCACTTTCTGGGAATTCTGTATAATAACCATTTTTTTTCCAATTTATAGGCTTTAGTGTATTCTGTTAGAATCTCTTTTGCTCCGAAATGACTGTTACCTTGTATAATGTGGGTCTGACGGTCTGGCCGAAGTGTAGTGGAGGTAGGTGAGGTAAGAGGTGGTCTAGCCAAGGTGTAATGGAGGTAGGTGAGGTGAGGTGGTCTGGCTGAGGTGTAGTGGAGTTAGGAGTGATGGAGTGGGCATAGCCTTGTTGGCAAGAGGCTGCAGTTACTACTCCATGAAGTCAATGAGGAGGGCAATAGAAGTTCAGGATGCTTGACCTCCACCCAAACTCACATAACAGAGCTGTATTAACAATATACTCTTTAAATCAAATTGCTTTTTAATGACAACAGCAGTCACATGATATACCACTGGAAATGCATGCAATAAAGCAACATATAAACTAAGCTAACACAAATACCATCAAATATTATATGTACAAAAAACTGAGTCATGACAGAAGTTGACAATGGCTAAAATGAAAGTGAAAATTTACCTTACTGCTGAATGATGGAGATTAGAGCTATCGTCTTGAGGTTGATGCTGATGAAAGAGATTGAGGTGACCTAGATATACAGGGAGACATGGAGGCTGCCTCACCCATACCTCTGACCCCTTCTCGCTCAGAAGTACTGCCTCCACTGCCACCTCAGGCATCTGAGGTAGGGAGGAGAGGATAGATAAGTCCCAAAAAGAGGCTTGAGTTTGCTACCATCTGCAGCTCATAAGGCTGCCATCCCCACGAGCCCCTTCGAGGCGGGGTAGATGGCAGACCAGAGGCCTAGCTTCTCCCTACGAGCCCCGTGAGGGCGGGGAATGTGGCTAGGCCTGGGGACACTTGGTCCCAAAGATGAGGAGGTACTGTACCTCCTCCCATGGGAGACTTAAGTCTCGAGACACTCCCCAGATAGGGAGCCAAGGCCGGGTCACCACTACTTGGAAAAGACCCGGGCCGGAAGAATACCGGCGAATAAAAAAAAAAAAAAAAAAAAAAAAAAAAAAAAAAAAAAAAAAAAAAAAACTGCTCATAAGATTTGTATTCGAAATTTTTTACTATTATTCACACTAGATTGAAATCACAAAGGAAACAGAACTTATATACTAATGAGGTACATACTGTATTCAAGGTGTGAAGTAAGGAGGCAGCCTGGTAATCTGCACCATCCACACGTCTGCCAGTGTTACTGGAGGTGGTTATTAAAGCACTTGGCACCCGCTTTTCAACAGCCCACCGGATTGTCTGGTACAGGAAGACTCCGAAAGAGAAGTATATCAGACCTATGAGAATAGTCTTGAATCTAAATATCTTGGTAGTGCTGAGGGATAATGCCTTGTCTCCCAGAGTGGAGTCTGTGGACATAGCTGTAGCTGAGGAGAGAGAGAGGAAGTGGATACTACACTTACTTTATTTATACATTCGGTCCGGAATGAATGTCACTGAGTTGTCCACATTTTTGTTTGTAGTATATAATATTTCTAGATACTGTATGGTATATACACTTCAAGGGGAAGACCTTGATGTTGGTGAACATTTTTTGATCCAAAGAACTGGAGCTGCTCTCTCTTTCCTCGAATCAAACCTGATTATTTCCCATTCCCCAGTTGTTATACAACCCCAAGTTTAGCATTATCCATTATTATAATTGATAATATTGAAATAGATATAGTTTAAGTAGATAATCGGGTTATTCATAAATGTGAATGAGGTGTCTGTGTTGTTGACAGTGGCATGTACATATAAATTAATATGAACAACAGCAATGGCTGATGTTTCTACCAACCTGTAGCAGCTCTCAGATTGTGGAGTAGCAGCATTTGCTGCTCTCCGGCAGTCAATGAAGCTGCTATCTGTACCTCTCCCTTCCTCTTCCTGACTTTCTCAGCTGCTTCCCTCCTCTTTCTGGCTTTCTCCACCACTTCTCTCCTTTTTCTGCCACCCTCCACAGCCTCCCTTCTCACTCTGTCTGTCTCTACCCCAGCAGTGGGGGGCAGGGTATCCATGGACTTGACAGAGGATGGGGAGGTGAGAAATAAAGAGGATTCCAAGAAAGATGGAGAGGTAACAGCAGGTTCAGGAGGAGAAGATTCAAGAGTAGAAGTTGGAAAAGAGGTAAGCAAGTGGAAGGAAGTGGAAGACGAGAAAGATGGAAAAGAAGAATTAGAGGATGATGACAAAATGGAAGAGGAGGAATTAGAGAGAGAAGTAGGTGAGGAAATAGACGAGGAAGGGGGAATGGAGGAGGTGGTAACTGAAAAGGAGGAAGAATTTTGCAATGAATTTGGCAAAGAAGATGAAACCAGCTGGTGAGTAGATTCTGCAGAAGGTGCAGGGGTGGCTACGAGGGAGGTGGCGATGGAAGCGAGAGGAAGTGCTGGGGACGACAGTGTTGTAGGGGAGGCTAGAAGATGGTTCCTCAGTAAGTCAGAGCCACCAGTCCCAGTGTCCTCATCAAAGCTCCGAGCACTGTCTCTGGGCACCTGCTGGAGCCGGAGACCTTCTGCCTTCTGTAGGGGCACAAGACCTGGAGACTTACTGTAGTAATGGGAGACATTAATAAATGTCATAAACTGAATACAGAATAAAAAAAATATGTATTACTATGGGTAGAAGAATAAACAGATAACTTGCACATAGGAAAGGAATCTTGTGACGACAGTCTACATGACCCCTGTGGGTTTAGTGCTTGGTTATGATTATAATAATGTATGACCCTTTTGGGTTTAGCACTTAGTTTTAATTAATTATGATGACATTCCATCATAGACTATTTTCATGTTACAGTGGTCCAGGATGGACTGAGATGTTGCCATAAATTCAAATTCCCTTTTTTTTCTTTCTTTTATACAGTATAAAGATAATGTAGTTTACACATAATAAAATATTGTTAGGTACAAAAGCATGCAATACATTATAGGTTACTGGCTGTCTTCTTGTCACCAGTGCCGAGGTTGGGAGACTACTCTCTCCCATCTCCGCATTGGCCATACTCGTCTTACTCATGGATATCTCATGGAGAGGCACCCTGCTCCTCTCCGTGAGAATTGCCAGGTTCCATTATCAGTCAGCCACATTCTGTTTGACTGCCCACTTCATCAACGAGCACGCAGAATTTACCTCCAACGTCGTCTTCGCTCCGCTGCTCTCTCTTTACCTTCCCTTCTCGCTGATGGATGTAAATACTATAATGATCCACAGCTGCGCAATCTAACACATGCAGCTAGGAGGATTGGTAAAGCATACTGTGAATGTAGAACCCCAGACCTGCTCAGAACGTTCCAAGCTGCACTAACAAATGCAAGGAATAGAAAGGAAGAACTTAGGCAACAGGAATGGGAACAGTTTGTTAGTGGATTAAATAGGTCCACCCCTTTGAGTTTGGCTTGGAAAGGTATAAATAAAATAACCAGGAAAAAGACTGGCAATGTTGCTCATCCCTTTCCTCTTGAAAAAGCAAATGACCTCATAAATGACTGGTCCAAAACATCCAGGCATGAAAGCCTTCCATCTCATATTAGAAAAAATTTAGAGAGTACTTCTGAAGAAATGTTGAAACTGATTAATTTTAAGAGCCAAAATATTGATGAGAGTGATTGCCTCTTTACCGAGTATGAATTAGATAATGCATTAACCAAAGGTCGATCAACTGCTCCTGGAGAGGATGGTATAACCTATGATATTCTCAGAACTCTAAGGCACGTGCCTGATAACCCTTTGTTGGCACTGTATAATCTCAGTTACATTGAGGGCGTTCTTCCTACTTCCTGGACCAATAGTCTCATTGTGCCTATCCCTAAGCCCCAACAGCCTGATACATTTAGGCCGATCTCCTTAACTAGTTGTCTTTGCAAAACTTTTGAAAGAATGATGCTTAACAGATTGTACTACAGAATCAGACATCAACTTTCCCCCTACCTCTATGGGTTCATGAAAGGTAAAAGTGTGCAGAACTGTATTTCCACCTTGTTGTGATAGAAACACAGGCCTTATCTCTAGGCTTTATTGAACATAGAATCTTCATAGTACTTCTGCAACAACAAAATATAATGACTAGTACATCTAATAATGGCTTTTACAGGGATGGTGATGTCTTGCATATGTCAAGAGAAAAGTTATAACTACAGGCCACATATTTAAACTCACCATGTAATCTGCATCACTGATAAATGGATATAGTAGGAGAGAATCACACACCATGTGTTAGTGCCCATGACATACACCAAACTGTTGTTGTTGTTAAGGGCCCCAAGAGGTGGTGCAGTATTATCCTGCTGCTGCTCCCCACAGGACCAGTATCACTACAATCTCCCCCTTTTAAAATATCAGAGACAGTAATCTCCCAAACTTAGGTGGGCGACGTACACGTCCCGACCTTCGTAGCCCTTGAGCCTCTTCACCAGGTTCGATATTTTCCAGTGGGGTTTGATTAACTGCTGGAGCAGAATCCTCTATTTCCATAGCGGTAGTCTCAAGGGGCTTTCCAGGAGAAAACGAAGCATCTTTCACATCTATTGGTGTATCTTGAGATTCCACACTAATAGGGATTTCAACTGGGGCTAAATGTCTTGTAGATACTGTAGTCTCTTCACCATTTTGGTAGCGAATGTGGGCGTAATGTGGATTAGCTTGCAGGAGCTCTACCTCTTCCACTAAAGGATCGGTCTTGTTCATCCTACGGTGACTCTTCAGGAGAACGGGTCCAGGATGACATAACCAAGTGGGCACGGAGGCTCCCGTAGAGGAACGACGTGAATAGTTGAGGAGTCTTTCATGAGGGGTTGCATTAGTAGCTGTGCACAGCAGTGATCTAATAGAGTGAAGAGCATCAGGAAGGACAGTTTGCCAGTGTTGAACAGGTAGATTGCGCGACTTCAATGTCATTGTAACTGCCTTCCATATAGTACCATTGAACCGCTCCACTTGACCATTGCCTTGAGGGTTGTAGCTTGTTGTTCTGCTGCAGGCAATATCTTTGCTAGCCAAAAACTCCTGAAGTTCGTTACTCATGAACGAGGATCCCCTGTCTGAATGGATATAAGCTGGCATACCAAAAATAGAGAACAACTGTGAAAGACAACTAATAACAGTTGAAGCAGCCACATTTGCACAGGGGAATACAAAGGGAAACCTTGAATATTCATCTACTATGTTAAGGAAATACCTATTCTGATTTGTGCTTGGTAGAGGTCCTTTGAAATCTATATTCAATCTTTCGAAAGGCTGGGTGGATTTTATGAGATGAGTCTTCTCTGGCTGATGAAAGTTTGGCTTGCACTCTGCACATACTCTGCATGCTCTGATCACTTGTCGCACATCTTTCACTGAGTAGGGCATGTTCTTTGATTTGACAAAATGGTACAGGCGTGTAACTCCTGGGTGACACAAAGCCTTGTGGAGAGCTGAGAGTGATTGCAAATCATGACATGCTGCTCCACAGTGGGACCTAGAGAATGCATCAGGTGAGATGTTCTCTTGACCCGGTCGGTACAGAATATCAAAGTCATAACACGATAGTTCCATCCTCCAGCGTAATATCTTGTCATTCTTTATCCTACTTTGTGCTTCTTGTCGAACATATACATCACGGACCGTTGGTCAGTCCTTATGGTGAAATGTCTACCAGTTAAATAATGCCTCCAGTGGCGAACTGCTTCTATGATGGCCTGGGCTTCTTTTTCTACAGCAGCATAACATTTCTCTGATCCTTGAAAAGTTCTCGAAAAGAAGGCTACTGGTCGTCCTGCCTGAGATAAGACTGCAGCAATGGCAATGTCAGATGCATCCGTTTCCACTTCGAATGGTAGGGACTCATCAATGGCTTGAACTACTGAGTTTTCAATGTCCTGTTTGAGAGTATGGAAAGCGGCTTCTGCTTCCTTTGTCACAGGAAATGTGGTAGCACTCAATGGGCGGACTTTACTTGAATAGTTGTAGATCCATTGTGAGTAATAAGCAAAGAGACCAAGAGTTCTTCGGAGTGACTTTTTGTCTTGAGGCATTGGAAGTTCCCGTAGAGGTCGTAGTCGTTCAGGGTCTGGGAATATTGAACCTCCTTCCACTACATAACCAAGGATGCTAAGCCTTTTAGTTGAAAAAGTGCACTTTTCCTCATTGTAACTGATATTTTTCTTCTTGGCGGCTTCCAAAAACTTATCAAGGTTTGCATCATGTTCCTCCTGGGTCTTGCCACAAATGGTAACATTATCTAAATACGCGTAAGTTCCCATGAGTTGCTATTCCTGAATGAGTGAATCCATAATTCGTTGGAAGCAGGCTACCCCATTGGTGACTCCAAAAGGGACTCTGGTAAACTGATACACTAGCCTGAAACGCTGTGTATGGTTTATCTTCATTCCTTATAG